TCGCAATAATGACGATAATAGTTAGTCGCATTATAGTACTACTGGGTCACTGAATGCTTTTCGGCTTTGGTCTGCTTGTTAAGTGTTATTTTCTACATTTTCTCCTGAATAAAAGTCCATTTTAATGTGACTCGAAAATACATTCTCAGTACAGGAAAAAAACCCATAGAGGAACAAAACGATACAAAAACATGTTCTAGGCCTGATGCCAGACCTTTAAACACGCTGGGTTTTTTTTAAAGGATTATGTAAATGAAGGTCTTGCAGCAAAGACTGTCACCTGGACACTGCTGTGATGGCTCTCGAGGCTCCTTTCTTTAAAGGACATTGGTCACGACAGTCGAGCTGCTCGAGTGCAGCTGCGTAGCTTGGCTGCAAAGATCATCTGTGCGCGTACGCGAACCTTCACGCAAGGTGCCACTCCCACAAAACCAAAGAGTCAGCGGCTCTCTAAGCGAGGCGGTTACTTAGAAAACCAGTCTCACCGAGCATCTCTGAAAGAAATTATTCATATTGTTGTGAAATCCCTGCAAAGTCCCCCCTCTTTCTGCCCTTACAAAGCAGCCTCGTTTTTATTCTGCATTTATAATGCAAATGTACCCAAGAAATGCATTAAGATGAGTGATTTCGGCTATTCTTCTCTTTCCATTACCTTATAATGCGGCTGTTTTTAACATGTCAGAATTAAGGGGTGCGATCATCAGGATGTGTCCTCGTTTCTCCATCCATTATCTGGCGCAGTTACAGAGCCAAAAGCCACAGGTGCTAATGGCTATCTCTTTCACATGCTTCCCATGCCAACTTCTAACACGCTGCACTGACAGTTTGGGTCCAACTGTTCATGCACATGCACAGTCCATTTGTCTCTGCCTCTTCGGGTGTTTTTCAAAAGCTCTTGTGAAGCCTGATGTGCCCATAAAACCCTTTTTTTTTGCCACAGTGAGTGACGGAGAGATGGGGCTATATTATATTATATTAATGAAACAATGACAAAAAGGTGGGTGTGATATGAATGGCAGAATAATAGGGTGAGAGGAATGAGTAAGCACAGCAGGGCTAAATCCATGCATTAATTAACACAAATGAGTGTCATGCAACTGTCAATGACGGGCTTTAATCCCGGCTCCACGAAGGAAGTGCTTTTGATTAATGCCGCGAAGTGGGAGATTATTTTTCGCATTTCCCCCCCTCTCTCCTAGCACACCCTTGACATATGCATCCCCTTACTGGAGACTCAGTGCTTTAAATGCTACTAATGATGATGAATCAGTAGCGACAGCAGCCCGGGCCACAGGATGAGTTGTTATTCAGATAGCGTGCGCGTGCGCGCGTTCATGTACAGACTTATAAACGTGTTGGGGTTGACATTTTGACAGGCCTCGGCAAACTGTCCACATTGATTGATGCGCAGGCTCGCTCCTTCTGGGCGCTGCGTCCAATCAAACGCGGTGGCTGCAGCTGAAAGACTCCCCATTTATCAGCATCTTAATTATACAACAGAGTGGCTCAAGACCTTGTTAGTGTAAGGGAAATAGCCATTGTTATGCTACACCTGTTGTTGTGGAAGCAATTCCCGCGGTGTTTATATTTTGCCGTGCGGCTGGAGAGATAATGGATGATTTATGAGCACTTTTTCTGCAGCCACTAGTCGAGGACGCGGGCACATTCACTAGACAAAAACATTCCCATTACACTTTAGGACCAAAAGAAGGTAATTCTGTCCGATAGGAGGAGGACACTTGTGTTTTTGTATTGTAAGCATGGCAAGTAGATTTCTTTGTACACTCCAGTGTTGCCAGATGGGAAGAAGCACCAAAATGAGTTGGACTACAGCTTTTATTTCCTCTGTCGACTCTCTCGGCTAGTTGTTCAGGTCTTAACAACCACTACCTAACATCAAAATTTCCATTAGCGAGAGCCAATTTCCTGCAAAATAGTTAAAAAAAGAAGAAAAAAAAGATGCAGTCCCTTGGGGTGCACTTCAAAAACCATATTAAACCACTGTGTAACAGTGCTTAATTTGTTTTTATGCACAATTCACAGTCCAGCCTTGAAGTTGCAGAGGAGAGCAGCTGCCTTCAGCCAGACATATGCTTTACAGTGCTTGTGGTTTAGCCAATCTAAGGAGCGTGGAAAGAAATGTAATTGAATACCTCTCATGTGCAAACCATACAAAAATAAAAGACAGGATTCAGTTGAATGCCTTAATTTCAGAATATGACAGTGGATGAGATAATCGTTTGATTCAGGTCGTTGAGAATTCAGTGTAATCTTTATCCTGATGGGAGCTGGGACTGAATCAAAGGGCTGTTCTGCTTAAACCATAAGTGGTCAATCAGTAGTCTGAAGAACATTGTAATGATTTCCCAGGAATGTGTATTTTAAGTGGATTCAAAGCCGGTTGATGATAGATGGCAGAGTGGAAGCTGCATAAATTCCACCTTTAAGAGAAGCGCAAGCCTGAGATCATAAAGGTAAATGTGAAAAGCCTTTCATTTCCTTGCCATCAGAAACGACTCTAGAAAGGGTGTTAGCAAATTCTTGATGCTTCTGTAGCCATTATATTTTTCCGGGCCTCTTATATTCCCATAACAGAACACTATTTTGGGAAACAGTCAATGAAAAGCCCAGACGAGAGAGCCCATTTTCCACTGAGAGAAATGAACTGACGAGCAGCAAATTCATTCTTTTCTTTGACTGACTGCTTTCAGCTTCTCCTGGATGTCATGAAACTGTCTTAAAGCAAAATAAAAAAACAAAAACAACAAAAAAAATAACCCAAAAAACCAAAAGACAACCAACTGCACTGAACTCCATCTGGTCAATGCAACAGATATAACATCTAAAATTAGCAGTTTAACAATAACTGAAGTCCTGCCCCACTTTCAAACTGGCATGTGTCCCACTGGCCTTCATTGCACAATGTACTTTTGCACAAAAGGTTTTCTGTCACCAGCCTTTGTGAAAAGCTGAAATATATGGCCAAACAATTCTGCCAGTCCTCCTTTATGACTAATTTATATTTATTCCCATCCAAACAATTATTTGTACATGATACTGAAACTTTGCCCCTCCATAATAGCAACCTACTTCAGCTTGAATTGCACACTGCATTAGAAACATTAGAAAACAATTAAAAAATATGAATGTTAAATGTATAAAATGCATTCAGATTGCATCAGCAAGAGTGACAGTATATCTGATGTATTGTAGAATAGCACCAGCTAAACCACAGTGGAAATAGAGCTGCTGCTCTGTCCTGAGTGGAACTCTGTGTTCTGTGTACTGGAAATAGCCGGGGTTAAATCAGTGCAATTGTTAAGCGTGCACATTTGGCAGCGTCAGAATGCAGAGAACAAACTCTGGTGCTGTTGGTGGTTGATGCAGTCAGTGTATGGGATAATTGGTTGGTTGTAGCTGACTAGCTAACTGATGCATAGGTCTGGACTGCATCAGAGCACTGACTGTCTGGCATTAGGCTGTGTCCTCTCTAATCTTTAGCCATTAACATTATGTTTTCATAATCCCCCTTACCAAAAACACTCAATGCTGGCATTAGCAAAAATATACTCTAAAATATACTCTCCTTTCAGTTCTTCAATGCAAATAATTCATCCGCCAATGAACAACTCAATGCATTAAGGCATATAGACATGGTCAAGACATCCTGCTGAGTGGCAAAGTCATGGTTGTTGGTGCCAGGTGGCCTGATGTAAGTATTTCACAAAGTGCTGATCTGCTGGGATTTTCCCATCTCAGCCATCTCTATGGTTTTCAGAGAATGCCCAGAGAAGAGACAATACACAGCGAGCTGCAGTTCTCTGGTTGAAATCGACTTTTTGGTGCTAGAGGAGAATGGTCAGATGCTTCGAGCTGCTAGGAAGACAACAGTGAGTCAAATAACCGCTTGTTACAACCGTAGTATGCAGAAGAAGATCTCTGAACAGACAGCACATCAAAGTTTGTGGCTGATGGGCTACAGCAGCAAAGGTCCAGCCTGGTGGTGATGGCGGTGGTAATGGTGTCAGGGATATTTTCTTGTCTCACTTTGAGCATCATTTTAAGACATCGTCCTTCCTGAGTATTGTTGCTGACCCTATCCATCTCTTTACTACACCACTGTCCATCTTCCGATAGCTCCTTCTGGCAGGACAAAGCTCAAATAATCTCAAACTGGTTTGTTTAACATGTCAAATGAGTTCACTGTACTCAAATGGCCTCCACGGGCAGAGCACCTTGGGGATGTGGTAGAAAACGAGGTTCACGTTATGGATCTACAGCAACCGTGTGATGCTGTCATGTCAGCACTGAGCAAAATATCGGGGAAATTTTTGAATGTAGGGTTTTACATAAAGTAAATGTTCCCAGACGTGAGTGAAAACAATGAAAGTATCTTCATGTTGATGCTTAATGTCACTCACCAGATTCAGGAATTGAAATGAACTGGAGGTCAAGCACCAGTTTACCATCCTATTTCATAAATAGGCCGGCTGACACAGGTGTCTGCGAATTTGAGGAATTTATAACTGATTGAGATCCACTGAGAAGCACAAAAGAACATGACTTTCAGTCGTGTTCGGTCTTTGAACTGCGTGTTCCCCTCACACCGAGCAGAGCCCTTGGCCGCTCAAAAGGCAAAAAAGAACCGACAAGTGCAACCTTAAAATGACTTCTGCACGTACATGAAAGGAATTTTCAGAATTTTAACAATAAAATAAAAACTTGACTATCATCAAGTTTGTATTCGTTTAATCTGACCACAGCAAAGGTCCCACAGCATTGTAAATCAAAGGAACAAAGCAAATCACGCATTTTTCAGGGCTCTCAGTGTGAGTCTGACCTCGATAATGTGACACTGTGCCAACAACACAAAAAGAAACATATTAAAAATGGATGAGCTAAATTTGAAATTCCACTGTGAAAGATTTGAAAAAGCCCTGTTGTCTGTCGTGCCCTGTTTTCCTCTTTATTTATTTCTTTTATGTCTGTACCACCTACAGGGCCAAACTGCTACGCGGACACGGCGGTGATACCGGCTGGCCGAGAGGTGAAGATCGATGAGTGCACAATCTGCTACTGCACATACGAGGAAGGCACGTGGCAGATTGAGCGTCAAGCCACCTGCAGTAAGAACGAGTGCCAGCGGAGCTAGAGACTGGCACGGCGACGAGAGAGGGACATTGGCACGCAACACCAGTGCCGAGCCTCATGCACACTCTCAGCCTTTCACCCAGTCTACCGGGCATCAGGGTCGGACAGCACCCCTCAAGCATTTCAGCATTAATACTGTAGTCACTCCTGTATTACTGAAACGATGCTTTTATGAAAGTTTATAATCCACACACAGAATATCTATTTATCTATGTATTAAATTATTTATGAATATATATATGAAATATAGGAGTCATTAATGCTGAAACAGTGGAAGACTATTTTTTATAGTATCTGTATTTTATTAAGCAATGTATTGGACCAGAGGTCAATAAAACAACAGAATGTATAGAACACACACAGCTGTCTTTGGAGGTGCAAGCCTCAACGTCTCTTAACCCGCGGTGTCATCCGACAAATCTCGACACCCGTCCCTCTACCACCAAAGTGCAGACTAGACTGTGCACGATTCATTTTGCAGTGCTAGGGTGCAGACTTGCTGTGCAGGACAGCGCAGTGCAGAGTTACAGGCGAACAACAACGAAGAAAGACGAGTAAATTCACGAGGACTCGACTGTTTCCTGATTTCTTTTATCCTTTTTTTTTCTGGATGTTCAAATGTGCTTTGATTTGAAAGTGCTTTTTTTGTATTTCTCTCGGTACAGTGTGTTCATGTTTCAAATAAATGCCATTCTGTGCTCTGTAAATGCTCCGACGGTACCTGTTTTTTTTTTTGCTGTGAGTTTTTATGTTGATGGTGATTTGCATTTACAGACTTGCTACCTGGAAAAAACAAAAAGCTTGCAGTTTCACTTGAATCAACAAATGATTGTCGATGGTTTGTTGTTTGGAATAAATGATCAGAGTATCAGAGGAGCCTTTGAAAGTGACAAATCTTCCCTTTTTAGATGGGAACGTTTTTCGGTTTTGAAGTTCCTGGATGATATCTGTGTGAAAGCTACAGGTAAATATTTAATAAGTTGTCAAAGAGGATATTAAGTTCCTCAGTAATGCAGGGCTTTCATTTCCGGTAGTTATAAGCATCCCAAAATAAACATGAGCCCTTGGAAGTGCAGGCGCTCCGGAGTTGCCCCTGGATTTCCAACTCCATTAATAAAGCCCAGACTGGACAATTCGATCTCATTGATTCCAATTTGCTTCCAAAATTTGGAAACCGAAAGGTCATCCGACTTGCTGCATATATGCTTTTTTGTTTTTGCCTTCGTTATTTTAGTTTGAAGATTAATCAAACGAATGCAGAGGCGTAAGGGCCAATCAAGCAGCAGATCAAAATGAAGATGAATAATTTAGGTCCAGGTTATGAACACTGAAAGGCAGGCTGGCGTAAACGCGTGCTTATGTTGTGTTCACGCTTTCGCCTGTCATCTTTTAAAAATTCCCAGAGAAGTAGCCATCTACATTTCTTCAAAGACAGGCCATTAATTGGATACATCTGTTAGAGAAACCCATAAGAGATTAAGCCCGGTCTTCCCAATGCTGTAGCTATGTAATTAGGCTTCTCCCCTGTTCTGGACAATGCACGCTGCTGCGCTGAGATGAAATGTGTTCATATTACAGTAGGTGATGAAATTCATTATTCATTTATAGCAATCGGCCGGCTCTGTCATTTGAAATGAAAGCATCGCGTATTTTGAGAAACCAACCAAAACTCTCGGTCAGCGAAAGAAAGTTGAAATCTTCATCGGCGTGAAGACGTGACTTTGAGCGCAGCAATGTGGCATAAAATCAAATGTCTTCCGGAGTTATTGGCTCTTCACAAGAGATTATGAAATATGTTGTAAACTTAATGGCAAATGACACAATCGCTGAGCTGCAGTGTCGGCTAATGAGTAAAATCCTGCAGCATAACACACACCTCTAATTCCTTTAGTCTATTTTATCAGTTAAGCCATCTCTGTAAATTTTTTTCCATGTTAGCTGTCTGTCCTGGTGGCCAGGAGGAATGCCCTCACTGAAATATGTCCCATTGGTGACTAGTGCTACCAGCGGCTCATATTTTTCACTTATATTATTTTATTATTTATCTGATAGACTTTTGCCCATTTGTTTTTCCAAATCTCATCAGCCTCTGTTGTGCAGTTTTAGCACACCTGATATGCTAATACGTTAAAGACTACAACTGGTAAACGTCAGCATGCTAGTACTATAGCTGGTGAGCGTCAGCAGTTAGCCCCCCAGAGCTCTACCATGGCCATACAATAACACACTTTAATGCTTTGAAGATGGCAGATCTGCAGTAAACACACACTCTAGATCAAACCAAAGCCAGGGCTGGTCCTACCTGCACAGTACCTTACATCAGTGGCTCAGTCGCACTAGATTAAAAATAGCACTGCTTGCTATTGATCATTGCCAGGTGACTGCACTGATTTTTTTTTTTCTGAGAAAGACCAACTCCAAGTAGTCGCAGTGACCAACTGATTGCCCAGAGGTTGAATGTGCAAAACACTTTATATCTGGGCCACCATGTTTGGTTGCAAGGTGATTGCACAGGTTGCGTGGTGGGAGGCAACCTGTCTCCAAACAATCTGGTCTGATTGAGACTGACTGCAGTCACACTCTCAGACAAACTGCCGTCTAATTTATAAATGCAGACAGATCGCCATCAGGTTGGCTGGATGGGTATAATGGTAAATGGACTGGTTCTTATGTAGCGCTTTTCTACTCAACCTGAGTACTCAAAGCGCTTTATACAACTCGCCTCATTCATCACACATTCACACATATTCACACAAGTACTTTTTTCTGTGCCTAAGTGCTTTCTCACTGTGCATTGGAGAACAACTGGCGGTTCAGCATCTTGCCCAAGGACTCTTTGACATGCAGACTGAAGCAGCCAGGGATTCAACCTTTCGATTAGTAGATGACCTGCTCTATATGCTAAACTACAGCCAGTGGTCAAGCAGTTGTGTTTTAGTTATAGTCCTATGTAAAAGGAAAGCTGCGGAGCATCTAAGCAATTTTGACTTAAATCACTTTCCCACAGCAACTGTGTTGCTATTTGTGGACGAATTTCTAAAATTCAAACCTGCTTTTTGGCTGGACTCTGAATCTAAGCACTCAACGTGAATTTCTGTGCATGCACTTAGCAACAGATTTGCAACAAACAGCAACAGATTTGCAATTTTTTGCCAGTTTGTCACAGTTAATCACCATATCATCACAAACAGATTGCATGTAATTGCCGATTTGACCCCATTCCATTGCATACTGAAAGACTTACTCTGTCTTATTGCCATTTTATCGCTGTCTTAGCACGACAAAGTCACTTTGAAGATGGCAACTGGCTGTGACTGATCCCACACGCAGTAGAAAACACATATTCTACTTCCTGTGATGCAAAAAAACCCCTTTAAATCTTTAAGAGAGCTTTAAAACACCAAAACCAAAAAAACCCTAAAATATCATCATGGATGAGAAACAAAAAACAGGAGGAGCTGCAAGTCCTCCCAGAATAGGGTTATCATCACTGTAGTTATTACAGTGTTTAAAAATGATCAGCATATGTATTCAAATGGGATCCAATCCAGTCATTAGTAAGTATGGGGTATTAGTCTTGTTTAACTTGTCTCTGCTGTCAAACTGTCTTATGTATTTTTCTGCCTCAGAATCATTTTAAAAGATTTATTTTGCATATAGAGAGTCAGTGTAGTCCTAACATTAACCTTATGGTTCAGAATAGGGGCAGGCTGATTAATATGAGGTGATACGTTGATATTCACAAGTTACTAACACTCAGGAAGATTATATAGATTTAAAAAAGGTGTAATAAGATATGTGACATGTGTATGGCTGCATCACATCAAACTTGCAGAAAGACATTAAAAGACCATTTTTAGACCTGAGTCCAGTGTAACAGTGCACTCAACTTCAAAGAACTTTAGAAGACACATAAGGTGCCTGCCTGGGCTCAGAGAAAGTAAAAATGAAAAAGGATGTTGCTACTCTCTGAAAAAAATATTTCATTGTATTTATTAAAGAGTCCTTTAGGACAACATTTTTATTTTATTGTACTGTTTTTTAAACATTTGCTAGGACTGATTATGAGTGTGTAATTTGTCTTTAAATGTCATCATATTAAGAACATTATTTATTTATCTTATACAAAATCAATCCCTGGTACATAAGAGGCAAAGCACTAAAACGTGGCCATTAAGTGGCATTGGATTGTTTATTGTTTATTATGCTATGTTTTTAAAGGTCATGAGCAAATAATATTATTAAGGGCGATCGTGGCTCAAGAGTTGGGAGTTCGCCTTGTAATCGGAAGGTTGCCGGTTCGAGCCCCGGCTTGGACAGTCTCGGTCGTTGTGTCCTTGGGCAAGACACTTCACCCGTTGCCTACTGGTGGTGGTCAGAGGGCCTGGTGGCGCCAGTGTCCGGCAGCCTTGCCTCTGTCAGTGCGCCCCAGGGTGGCTGTGGCCACTGGATACGTAAAGCGCTTTGGGGTCCTTAGGGACTAGAAAAGCGCTATATAAATACAGGCCATTTACCATTATTAATTTCAGCTTTTGAAGTAGATCTACATTCGTCAAACACTTGTGCATTTAAGGGTTTATGACACTCGCTATACAGCAGGGGTCTCAAACTCCAGTCATCGAGGGCCGGTGTCCTGCAACTTTTCCATGTTACAACACACCTGAATAAAAATTTCTGGGTCATTAGCAAGAGGATAGAACTTGACTGCATGCTGAAGTGGTGACTCCTAACCCCACTCAAGTAAATTTAAGTAAATGTAAGTGTTTGGAAAATGATCTACTAAATGTACACTTTTTGCACCATGTTCATTCACTCATGAGCTGCTGTAACAGGAATCAAATGGCTGAATTGCCACCTCAGCATGCAGTCAAGTTCTGGAGTCTTGCTAATGACCTACTAATTGTATTCAGGTGTGTTGCAGAAGGGACACATGGAGAAGTTACAGGACACTGGCCCTCAAGGACTGGAGTTTGAGACCCCTGCTATACAATATGTTGAGCCATTAAAAATTTTTTTTAACAGGGGCAACACATGTTACCGAACATCAGTATACCAAACATATGAAGTGTAAACATGGCAAAACTGCCAATTTACATTTACATTGCCATGGTGGGTTATGTAAAACTTATATAGAAATAAAAACATAAATGACATATTAGACAAGAAGGAGTTAAAGATGGTCACGGACCCGGTTTGCTGTTTAAGATATGCATCAAATGCCTTTAATAATGAAGATTACAGCTGTCCATTTTTTTGCCCACGACTAATGTGTATCCTCTATAGGTACTATTCTTAATTTAAAAACTGAAGATAAGGCTCCTCCTGTTGCTTTGTGTAGAATCATTACGTCACATAGCAGAGCAAAACACGACATAAACACAGGTAGTTTCATTAATATGTCAAAACAATATGAATTTTTTTTCACAGGCTGGCGCTTCTTCAAAGCTCAGTATAAAAGTGCAGTTTGATTGAAGCTTTAGATAAAACCTTTTCAGCGCCATATTCCATCTAAAGTTTTAAAAGCACCGGTTTACTGTCATGATTTCTCTTAGACGCACATAAGCCTAAGTCAATGGGCCTATCTGTCTGCAATCTTATCAAAGGCATTAAAAGCTTTGGGAGACAACGATTAGACAGATGTGAAAATGTTCCGTGAGAAAGAGGGGGAAGAAAAAAAGAAAAGAAAAAGGAAGTTACCTGCCTGCATTCATGAAACTCAAGTGTTGGGAACTTTGATATAAGTGAGAAAAGCAGCTCATGATATCTCAGTTGGCTTTGCTTTCCCTTAACGCCCCACTCATCTACTTTCACACTTATTAGAAGTGCGTAATTACGCTGGATCATGTTTTTTGTTGCACGTTTGTCTTGAAACGGGGAAAAGCTAGATGACAGCTGAAGGTTATGAATATTTAATATCACATTTGCGGCATTTATTTCAATTTCAGAGGGAGCAGCGAGCTTTTAACTGGAATCGCTTTAAATAAAAGAAAGCTTGTTATCTGTAAGTGCATTTAGGCTTTCTGCTTAATGCGGGACTGTTATCAACAGTGCGGTTCATTAGCAGATTTCTAAATCTTCTTTCAGAGGGCCACGGCCCTTTGATTTTCTGCTGTGAGAATACTGAGTAAATTCCAGCCTTCTGTGTCTCTGACGGTGAATTTATTCCTCTGTTCTGCACATTAATTTCACCGGACAGCTGCTAAATGCCAGTAAAATGCTCTGAGGATTCTATTTGCACCTTCTGAAAGGATTTCTAAGCACATCACCTCAGATCCATTAAATCCAGTTTTGAATCTCTTGACACTTATGCGAGCCGTCT